AATGTGAACCCACATGTCCGAAAAGGAGTAGGGTTAGGTAAGGTCTTTATCGGCAGAAATACTATACAAAAGCCCTCAAAACTTGTACTTAGAACTTGATGAAGTGATGCTGCCACCCATGTTTTGTATTGATAGAATTTTAATTATCAGTATTTATTTAAAGTAATCAGTGATTAGCTTGTATCGAAGTATGCATCCACCCAACGCCGCCATGGCGTAATTTTATGGCTTTGAGTGAAATATCTCAACAGCTAGTGGATGGATTTCCATGAAATTTGGTACATGCATTTATGTATGGAACAGGATGAAAGTACTTTGTTGATCTCATGACTTTTCCTCTAGTGCTGTCCTATAGTCAAAGCATTTTTAGCTTTTAATTAGCATGATGGTTAATGTAGTAAACAGCATGGCTGTAGTAGGGACTTTTCTTGTTAGATTATGCATTTATCTATAGATCTGATTATGTCAACTTTCTAAAAATGTTTTTCAATGTATTACCTGACATTAAACTTGTCATAATGGGTAAAATATTTGTTATCTTTCTCAGGAAACCCCAAGGGAGCGATGTTGACCCATGAGAATGTGGTCTCTGATGCTGCAGGTGTCATCAAATGCTTTGAGGTACTTTTTTTTTTGAGGTGTCATTGTCTGCTGGAAAACTTGAAATATTTTGAGTTTGTCATAGACCTCTTCCTAACAGAGCCTCTGTGCATCCCACAGACTGCAGTTGTTCCAAATACTCAAGATGTCAGCATTTCATTCCTGCCTTTGGCGCACATGTTCGAAAGAGTCGTACAGGTGAGGATCAGATCGTAAAGGCAGGTTTACAGTCCTTGAATTTATAAATTACACTTATAAGGATATCTTGAAGTGTTGTCTTTTGATTGCATTTAGTCTGTTTCTTGTAGACAGTGATGTATGGTGCTGGCGCTAAGGTGGGATTCTTCCAGGGTGACATCAGACTGTTGCCAGATGACATGAAAACCCTGCAGCCCACCATTTTCCCAGTCGTGCCTCGACTTCTCAACCGCGTCTATGACAAAGTCAGTCATCTGCGTCAGACACAACAGCCCCCTCTTTCCTCTCATTCTGCTTTAAACATCAGCCCAACACGTCTAGTTTTGTATTTCGAATGCTGTAATCAAAACTCCTGTCCCTAGGTTCAGAGCGGGGCCAAATCGCCTTTCAAGAAATGGCTGTTGAACTTTGCAGTGGAGAGGAAATATGCTGAAGTGAGGGAGGGCATCATCAGGAACAACAGCATATGGGACAAACTCATCTTCCACAAAGTCCAGGTACTGCTCCCGTTCAAACAAATGCAGATTGTTCTAAAAAGGGAGAGTTGCTGATTGTAAACATGCTCCATCTTGACTGTAGGAGTCTCTGGGAGGCCGAGTGCGGGTCATGGTGACTGGAGCAGCACCCATATCTCCCTCGGTTCTCAACTTCCTCAGGGCTTCTCTGGGTTGCCAGGTAATAAACATTTATTCTCTCTGGTGAAATGTAAATGTCATGTTTGTCAGTCACACTACAGTTTGATACTTGACCCCCTCAAACATGCACACTTTCTTAGAATCCCCTCTTTAAAAAAGCTAAACTCAGCTGAAGCTAAATGTTGTATTTTCTTGGTTCCAATTTAGCTTCTTTGTAAATAATTTGGTTTGGAAGATGTTTCTAAAGCAGTCCTGCACAATGTTTGAACCTTGGTAAACTCTGAGGTGTTTGCAACAAATGAATGATACACTTGTGCAATCTCTCCTCTCCAAACACAGCAGTGTCCAGCCGCTATTGATCGTTTCATGTTGTCATGATAACCTGATCTTGTACTCTATTTTTATTTTGTTTTGGTTTGGTACTCTTAGATCTTTGAGGCGTACGGCCAGACAGAGTGCACAGCTGGCTGCACCTTCACCACGCCGGGAGATGCCACCTCAGGTCTGTAGTTCAACCGCAACTGTTCCACATTGTGACTATGAGCTTCCCTATAAGGAGTGGTGAAGAGTAACTTAAGTAAACTGAGCCAGCACTGCACTTGAGTACATTTCTGCTACTTTATTCTTACTATTATACTACTTATTTCAGAGGGAATGTTGTGCTACTTTATACTTACAATTATACTCCCCTATATTTCAAAGGGAAATGTTGTTCTTTTTACTTCACTAGATTTATCTGACAGCAGATGATGTAAGTAAATATAATGCTTTTTATGCTTTTCTGGGTCTTAAATTACAGTAAAGTTAATATTTTTGAATTTTCGACTGTTGATTGGATAAAACAAGAAATGTGAAGATGTCACTTTAAGTTTTGGAGTATTGTGAGGGACAAATGTCACTGTTTTTGGTATTTAAATTAGCAAGAAAGTTTGCTTTTGATAGACGTGGTACAGACAAGTGACCCAAAACGATCCCCTTCTACCACAGGGCATGTTGGGGTGCCTCTGCCTTGTAATGTTGTAAAGTTGGTGGATGTTGAAGAGATGAACTACTTTGCTTCAAACGGTGAAGGAGAGGTAAGTTCATGTAAACTGAAATTGCAGAGGGGGGTAGTGATATTAAACAACTACCTGAGCAGGATCGCATCTCCATTAAATCATACAAATGTCACAAACATAGTTAATCACTAAATTAACTGGAAGTTAAAGAAATTACTTATTTTTTAACTTTTATTTGAGGAAATAATCATGTAGTAATTTAAGTTAATAACTACAGTTAACCAATTTGGAGGCCATAAACAGGAAGTAGGTTAGCCAGTTGGTTAGCTATGGGCTACAACTTGAGCCACATGTTTGTTTTTTTGCCTACATTTGTTTACATTTTGTAAAAAGGCACCTTAACAATAAGCCAAATTGGCTATTAGCAGTTTCTGTTTGCAATGAACCATTAATGTACAGACAACTATCAGGAGATTACTCTGATAAAAGATAAAAAATAATTATGTATTGTGTATTGCTGCATTTTGAAGAGCAACCACTTATCACGCATTAATTTCATTCCAAAAAACAGCTTTAAACTTCAAAAATGGTTAAGATATCACTGTTTAGTTTCCCGCTATTGTTAAAGGGTCAGGGAGACCATTAAGTTATGACCACTTTTAAGAGCTTTAGGAATGTGCAATGTTTAGAAGATTTTGAGTGAAACATATTTAAAGGTCTGTCTTAACTTTTGTATTGTTTCTTGTTGGTCTTTTCCAGGTCTGTATCATGGGTAGAAATGTGTTCAAGGGGTACTTGAAAGACCCAGAGAAGACAAAAGAGGCCTTGGATGAAGACGGTTGGCTACACACCGGGGACATCGGAAAATGGCTGCCGGTAAGAACCAGTCATTTTTCCTACCATTACATGTGAAACTTAAGCGATTGGCTCAATGTTTACCACCGATCAGAATCAATGCAACCACAAGCTCTTCTGCACCAGGTGCATTGTGTTTGTGGCTGGAGCCCTCGGGTCATATTTGCAGATTGTGTATTGGGATCATTGTTTGGAATCAGTTTCATAACTGCAAAAGGTTTTTGAGAAACGGGGCAAATTTTGCTTTGAAAGGAAGTAAGAACTTGGCAACTGAGGTGCTGCAGTTTTTAAAGTAGTTTGACGTTTTGGGAATGGCGCTTATTCTCTTTGCTTGTTGAGACTTGGCTGAAACGATTGATACTGCTCATATTTGCCCACTAAATATAAAGCTGGATCCAGGAAATGATTAACCTTTCTTGCAGTCTTTGCGTGAAGCTAAAGTCATTAAAACATTATTTGAGTTTTAGAGTTGCTGGTAGGTGCTTATTGTTACCTTTTTTCCAGTTTTTATGCTAAGCTTACCAGCTGACGGCTGTGATTCATGTTTTTAACAGACAGACGTAAGTGGCATCTTATCTATTGGCAAGAAAATGAATGAATTTATTTCCTAAAATATCAAACTATTGCTTAAGGACAATACACTTTTTTTTTTATACTTAATCATATTTAGATTCTAAGTAGGCTTTGGATTTTGGCCTGCTTCTTATTCTCAACTAAACAAAAGCACAGTGAGAACACAGCTGTTCATCCTACAAAGATGCCTTTCCTACATAAAGAAATGTAAGAAGAGAACAAAAAAGTCAGTCTTAAAGGTAATTCTGCAATCTGACTTGTTTTTGTGACTAGAGTGGAGTTCTGAAGATTATTGACCGGAAGAAGAATATCTTCAAGCTGGCTCAAGGGGAGTACATTGCGCCTGAGAAAATTGAGAATGTATATGTACGAAGTGAACCTGTGGCCCAAGTATTTGTGCATGGAGACAGTCTACAGGTATGGTAAAACCAGCATCTCTGCAGTCTGTATATACCCTCTCAATCCCTTTTTTAATCAAACATATTTCTTCTGTCTGTAGTCCTGCCTGGTTGCCATTGTGGTCCCTGACCCTGAGTTCCTGTCTGGTTTTGCAAAGAATCTTGGGTGCCAAGGCTCCATTGAGGAACTCTGCAAAAACACGGTAATATTTCTGTCTGGTCTTCTCGTGCCTGTGTATAGGAACCCTAACCATCTCAAACTGCAGAAAACAAACTAACTTTGGGCAGATAATCTGGGGGTCACTATAATACAGTTTAGTGTCTCCTCAAGATGACTTTATTCCCCAAGCTCTGGCAAATGCAGTCTGCAGTAAACATGATCATTAACACCAAAAGAAGCCAGCTGGACTTGTGCTCCACGCGTGCTGTAAAAGTCATAAGATGTCTGCAAATCAAATTGAATATTAGAAGCGTTCAATAAAAATTTCATCTGGAATCAATTTAAACTCTACTCTACTTTTTTTTTTTTTTTTTTTGAACAGTGATGACTTTCTTTTGTTTGCAGGAAATTATGAAAGCCATTCTTTCAGACATGACCAAACTGGGAAAAGAAGCAGGACTCAAGTCATTTGAGCAGGTAACAGATCCCAATGAATTCCCCAAATTAAACTGTGTAATGCATGTGCAAGTTTGCTAATATCGGGGGAAACTTAATGGTAATTGTACAACAATCTAAATTCATAATTTAATCAGTCAAATTTAAGATTGTTTCCTGAAAGCATCTGTTCTCATTTTTACTACTCCGACCAAACACACAAAGGGAAAAGAGAAGCAACACAAAACCAGCTGTTTTGTGGTCAAGTCAGTTATTATAAGGAGATCTGGTTTCTTTACAAACAAAAGGTGAGGCAAAAATACAAAAAGGACTGGTCAGTGCAGTCTTTAAACCAAAGAAATGAATAAAACCAAAAAGTGAAAGATGAGCCCGGCTATCTAATTCTACTCACCGAAAACCAAAGATATTCAAAAACGGCACCCCTAATCTAGTGTTTCAGTTTTTAGGTCTAACCCGGCATAGTCCCAGTTAGCAAACTGACTCAGTTAACTGTCTAGTGGGTAAAATGAGCATTTCTAAATGACAATCTATATTTCTTTTCTTGTTTTACTTAAAGTTAAAATATTATTACTCCTCAGGGGCGGTCCTAGACCATTTGGTGCCCTAGGCGAGCTTTACTGATAGCGCCCCATCCACCCGAGAAAAGAACTCATGTCCAAAGAATTGCACATTTATTTAAACAATGATAATACAAACACAATATGTGCAAAAGAATAAACCTGTTCAATAATAAATATACAAAAAATAAACTTTTAAACATATTTTTAACAGTAGTGCAACATCTGAGAACAAAAAGTGCACACTAAAGAATCAATTAAACAATAAACGTGTGCAATTAGATACTGTAAATGTGTTCATATAACATATTAACATCAAATATAATATGACAAAATAAACAAAGGTTCAAATTTCACCCCCAAGTGAATAGAATACTTCACACTTTCCTTCCAATAAATCTTTCTGGCCTTCTTGCAACAAAGTCATAAATAACTCTCGGAGAAATGCTGACCACCAACTCATGGTTGATACTGATTGTGGCCAGACCCACTGAAGGCGTTCTTGAGCCATGTGGATCTGAGGTAGTGTTTTAGGAGTTTTAACTTGGGAAAAACTCCACTCAGCTGAAGCTCCGTTATAGGTAACAGTTCGCTTATACCGTTTATTTCCATGGACTGTAGCTGTAACCCGTCGAAGACGACGCAGCTGCACGAGCCGACTAGCATCAGTGGTGGCCAGCCGCCCTACGCATCCTCTCGCTCGACCCACGTCCGCGTGTAGCCACAAGCCGTGTAACAGCTAAAGGTCACGTCAGAATTGTCATTTCTTTTACTTAAAAAAAATAAATTAAACTTATGTAAAAGTATTGTTGTAGATAGAGGGATGGCAAAAACTGTTGAAAAAATAAATAGACATTATAATTTTAATTATTTTTTTCTCGCCGCATATTTTGTGCCCCTCACTCGGTGGCGCCCTTATCTATATTTTATACTATATATATAATGGTAATATATGTATATGATATATATAATAGTACTATTATTATACATTACAGGGGCGGTTCCTTGACCATTTGGTCTAGGCGCAGCTTTACTGATAGCGCCCCTTCCCCACGGAGAAAAGGAACTCATGTCCAAAAAGGGAATTGCAACATTTATTTAACAATCGATAAATACAAACAATATTGGAGCAAATATGTGCAAAAGAATAAAGCCCTGTTATTTAAATATAAATAATAAATATTACAAAAAATACACTTTTTAAACATTTTTCAACCAGTAGGTGCAACATCTTGAGAACAAAAAGTGCACACTAAAGAATCAAAACAAAATATTAAACTAACAAATAAAGCATTGTGGGTGCAAAATTAGATTACTGTTTAAAACTGTGATTCATATAACCTCATTTAATCAAATATAATATACAAAATAAACAAATTAAGCGTTTCAAATTCACCCCAAGTGGAATAGGGAATAATATTATTCTACTTGCACATCTAAATACATTCTTCACTGCACTTTGTCCCCTTGGCTCTTCTTTTCTGCCGTTTTAGAAAGTCGCCCCGGATGGGCTTTTGCCGGTTCATTTTCCATGGACTGTAGCTTTTAACCCGTCGACACACAGGCGCCGACCAACTGCGCATTCAGCTGTGTGCGCTAGCCATATTGTGACCGTGACGGGTGGC